GGTAAACCTCTTCTGCACCCTCTCCAAAGCCTCCACATCCTTCCTGTAATGTAACAACCAGAACTGAGCTCAATACTCTCAAGTGTGGCTTAACCAAAGGCTTACAAAGCTCATCATGACATACTGACTCTTGTACTCAATTCCCCGACCAATAAAGGCAAGCATGCCACATGCCTTCTTTACCATCCTATCTACTTAGGTGGCTACTTTCAGGGAGCTATGGACTTGAACCCCGGGATCCCTCTGTACATTAATGCTATTCAAGGTCCTGCCATTAACTGTATTTAATTTATAATTTAAAGGCGAACAACTCTTTTAAGGAAACATTTTGGTACCAGTTTTATCTGATTACTGCTGTGAAACTACTTGGGGCGCAAATATTTACTGGTGTACCATAGGATTTCTGAACCATCCTCGCAATAGTGTCATCTCCAGTTGCGGTTACTTCGCCAGATGTTCGCTGTTCCTCAAGATGTGCCTGTGTTGTGGGTCATGAGACAGTTGGGGTGCACTGTCTTTCATTAGGAGTCATTTTGGCTGGTTGTTACTATAGTGTACCTTGAAAAGGCAGTGCTGAAATAATCAGCTTCTGAAACAGGACAGAAAGGAGTATTGCTGGGTTTATGTTTGTGCTGATGCAGGTAGATGAAGCAATTGGTCAAAAAATGGAAACTGATTCTTAAAGACTTTTTCAGTAACCACTCATCGTCATTCAGGTCTGTGTTTGGAACCCTCCATTCTGTTAGTTTGGTATATCGCTTTTATTGTTAACTACTGTGTTATTTAAATTGCAGAATATGTGACCCAGCTGGAGAGATATGTACACTACTACACAGACGCAGCTAAACGACTAGGCACAGAAGGGAATCGAGTAAGTACTGGGAATGTCTGGTTATTGTGACTGGGAAAGGGCTGAGAGTAGAATGTTCCTATTGGAACGATCGTTTTGTTTCCCTTGGCGTTTACTTGCTTAAGGTTCTGTTCCAGAGGAGAACTTGTAGTGTAAGTGCTGCCCAGATAAATGCATCTGAGTCATCAAGAGGAGCAGGATGCAGAGATAACCAGTGATTCTAAGGCTACAAGGCTCTGAGAGTCATCACAACTCCCCTAACTCACAGCTAGTCCAGTCCTCCTCCACTCACTGGTCCCAATCTGGCTGTACCCCAACTTTGAAAACAAGAATAATATTTTTAATTCCTTTCAAGGTAAATCTCTCTTTCTCTCTGTCTTATTCAGTCTCTGTATGCCTGTGATCTCTTGCATAATACCAACATTATTTTCATTCCACACGAGTGATGCCTAGGTCCCAAGCTCTGCCTCCCTAAACTTCTCCATTCTTTTTCTCCTTCCAATATAGATAGTTTATCTCAGTATTGGAGAGGAATTCACGTAGGTTATTTCTACCATACTGAATTTGTGTAATTATTGAGGGAGGTGACATACTTCAGGGAGCTAGGTTACATTCCACTCTCCCCTTCCACTTAGAGTCATACAGCACGGAACCAGACCCTTCGATCCACTCGTCCATGCTGACCAGATATCCTAAATTAATCTAGTCCCATGTGCCAGCATTTGGCGCATATCCCTCTAAACCCTTCCTATTCAGTACCCATCCAGATACCTTTTAAATGTTGTAATTGTACCAGCCTCCACCACTTCCTCTGCCAGCTCGATCCATGCACGTTCCACCCTCTGCATGAAAAAGATGCCTTTTTCAAGATCCCTTATAAATTTTTTCTCCCTCATCTTAAACCTATGACCTCAAGTTTTGGACTCTCTCACCCTGGGGCAAAGACCTTTACTATTCTCCCTGTCCGTGATTTTTTAAATATCTAGAAGATCACCCTTCAGCCTCCAACACTCTGGGGAAAATAGCCCCTGCCTATTTAGCTTCAGCCTTTAGCTCAAATCTTCCAACCCCGGCAACATCCTTGTAAATCTTTTTTGAACCCTTTCATGTTTAACAACATCTTTCCTATAGTGGGGAGACCATAATTGAACGCAGTATTCCAAAAGTGGCCTAACCAATGTCCTGTGCAGTCGCAACAAGACATCCCAATTCCTCTATCCAATTCTGACTGGTTTTGTTCTCTTTTAATTTTCTGAACAGGATTTAGCTAAAGAAGCATTATACAAGAGGAAGTTGGTGGATGATGAGGTAAGATATTGCTGTTTGTGCTGCTTTCTTCAAAATGGGATGGGTACAACAGTGCAGCAGTTATCTGCCTAAACTATAGCCTTGTGTTTAGTCTAATCTGCCCCACTATATGTTTTGTTACAAATGTATGTTGGTCTCCAAGAAAACAATTTGTGATAGTTCCATGGATAGTGATGTGCATCTCAAATCAGAAAGCTGTATTTTCAAATCCCACACCAGGGAACCTGAGCATTGGATTAGGCTGATACTTTAGTCCAATACTAGGGGAATGTTACGCAGATGAAGGTACCACTGTACAGATGAGATGTTAAATCCAAGGCTATATTTGACGTCTAGATGCATATGAATGATCAAACAACGGGGGAGTTTGCTTTGATGTCTCGGCCAATGTCTATCCCTTAACTGATGTCGCGAGGTAAATTAGCTGATAATTATTGTCGTTCCTTTTATGTGAGTTATCTGTATGTAAATTGATTGTCATCTTTCCTACATTTACAACAATGACTATCTGCTTCAGTGACTGTGAAGCACTTTGGGATAACCTGAGTCAATGAAAGGGGATAACGAAATGCATCTTGGTTTACTTAATTGATTTTGAGCCCAATCTCTCAAGTGTAGCTACTGGTTGCTTAATGACCCAAAGTTTAAAAACGCCAACAGGTCCCCACAGGGAGTGCCTGAAAGAGACAGAACATGTTAACAGCTAAAGATCCCCCACATGCTGCTGAGTGACCATTAGCAGTGCCATGGGGATTTATCTCACTGGGTGAACTTGCTTTCTGCCCCTCTATGTTAAATTGCTGAAGGACAGTCCCTTGGCTTGTGGGACCCCTGCACTCATCTAGTGAAGACTTCCCAACATGAATCCAGACAGTGCATAAACGTGCAAAAACATAGTTTTTTTGTTTATGATTACTGTAAGATGGTGATAGTGTTCTCTTAAAATAACATTCTCTATTTTTTCTTTTATTTTCTCACTCACGCCACATCTCTCCTGCCTATTCTGTTTCTGACACCTTCTCACCTCCTTGTCTTCCTCTTTCGCTACCTTTCCCTCTCGCCCCTTCACTGCCACACTCCCTCTTTCTCTATTATTCTCACCCTTTTAAACCTTTCTTTCTCTCTCTCTGTCTGTCTCTCTCCCTTCTCTCCTCTCTTCCCCTCTCCCTCACATAGCTGCAAAGATTCAGACGATAAGGACTGCAGTGTTTGGATCGGCGCCACGTCCTTGCTCTCAGTCTGCAGTAAACACTTGTGGCATTTAAATTACACCATGTATGTCCAGAAAAATACTCAACTTTCAGGACTGTTGGATGAAAAAAATCCAATTAACCGCTCTGCAAGCAGTCTACCTTGAAGCTCCTCTATATCCCTCACAAGTGGGATATGGAGCCGGACAATGGAAAGTACTATAGACAACGCTATCCAACTGGAAATCGAAATACCAAGAATTCTGTGGAGCGGGAGCTATGCAGGAGGTGCTGAAGGATGTCCTCAACTGAGGTTGAAATGTACAGCTGAATCACACCATATCCTTCTTGCGTTCCTAGGGTTATATTTTCCCTCTCCCCTTGCAACTCCACCCCCACTCTGCAGCCCCAGACCTGTAGGTGGGTGTCTGATACTACCCCGTCAAGTAACGTGAAATAATTTCTGATCATGATAAGATGCTTCTTTTTATTCAATAATTATAGTGCAAAAAAAAAATTTCATCAGCCCTGTCTTCAAGCCCCACTAGCAATGCCTCTAATTGTCCAATGTGGGAGATCGAAAGATTCTACTGTACCCAGTTTTGATTCAATTTTATTTCATGGGATTGTGGTTTTATTTCAGTTTGGTGTTCGGAGTTTGAATTCTGCAGGTCCAATTAAGTTTTTATTTTCTTCACCCCGCCCAACCTCCGCCCCCCCCCCCCCCCCCCCCCCCCGCAAATATCAAAAGCAGTGGCCTTAACTTTGTGTCCTAGCTGCTGACATAATTTGAAAGATCTCCCCGTATCCAGCTGCAATTTTGTGGGGTGGGGCTTCTTGTAACGCTGCCCTTTCTGCTGAGACTGGAGTGCAGTTGGGCTGGGGATTGTCAGGTGAAGTTCAACTCCTCTTCACAAGTTTTGTGTGCGAGTTGGTGACCCGTGAGGGTCCTGCAAACATTGGGGCTGCAGACTTGATGGAACAGCACTAACATTTCTTTGTTTTAAAACCCGTGTTTCCAAGGGAAAATGGCAGGAAAGAGCAGTGACTGAAATGACAGTGAAACGAACCTGCCCACTGACGTATGGGGTAGCAGAATGCTGGAATCACTGGCCCTCAAAATTAAACAGTCTCCACATGGCACTGCAGGTCCTAGCTGTAATCCTAAGTAGCTGAGTGGTGGCTTTAAGGCGAAGTGCACAATTTTTAAATTGTTCGCCTTGGTGCTCTGCTCGTGTGGGTTAGGCATATGGGTGGGAAGGTGCATGGGAAGAACATTCTCTCATCAATGTAATAACTGAAGGTAACATTTGTCTCCATTTGAAGTTTGTTTTTTATTTGTTGCTTGCAGTCAGTTACTTTGAAATCATGACTGAATCACTGCCCTAGTGGCACTATCCACTTATGATTATATTTGTAACGTAAATTTGACTGTGGAAGAGCAAAATTCTGTGACAATGAATTGGGTTGTTATTATAGAACAGGACTGAGAGTTTAGTCAGGACTTTACTCACTGTCCAGGGGTTTGGGTGAGGTTACATTAGAATTTTAGCTTTAAGTTTTAAATTTCTGAAAATCATTAATTTAGGGATGCATTATTAAACATTGAGATTCCTTTTACACCTTGCACAGATTGTGTTCCAGGAAGGCTGTTCTGCTGTTCAGCATAAAGCGGTTTTGATTATTTTCTTAATTTCTTCTTTCAAAGCCCAGACCAATGATGTGCAGCTCTGTTGGCTGACGATCTCTGGTATCTTGGCCAGCTAATTATTATTTACATAGAAGCCCAGATAGTTAGCGATGAGTGTGTTTGTTTTTTTTTCCTTGTTGGGAGGGATTCCAGGCAGGTCCTGACCACCAGCAAACCCACCCCCATCAAGCCTGTTGATTTCCAGTGTGCACAAGGATTGGGCTGGGATGGCAGATGGAGTTTGCTTGTACAGTCGCCCTCTTTCCCACCATGTTATTCAGGAATCCTGTTGTCCTTTGGCCAATCAAAAACGGTCCACAGTGGTTTCATTGAAATTTGAAAGGAAGAGGGAGGCACGAGAACTGAGATGAGGTTCAGCCTGAACAGAGCCTGATTGTGAGATCAGATGGAAGTGTAGCTGACCCTTTCTTTGCTTTCCAACTCTTTGTTTCTATGCAAACAGTGCAGGTGTGGGGGAACCTTGTGAAGCATCCGCCACCGCTGACCATCTCCCAAGCCAGCTTTGGTTGTAGAAAATGATCACAACTCGGGATGTTATCAAATGTATTTGTGAAGCCTTAAGAGTGCATAGTAAAAGCACCAGAGTATTTATTTAAAAAGCTTTAATTTGGCATTGAAGTGCATAGTGACCGAGATTGTAGTATATTAGGTAGTGGGCAATGCCTCCGTGTATGCGCACACATGTATGCGTGTCTATATAGCATGTGAATGTATATGTGCACACTTATTGTATTGCACACATGTGTAATGAATGGACTGCCACTGGGACCATAACAGAATTAATGGTTCAGATGTTGGAGATGATGATAAAGCACATCTACATGATTAGGTTTCTGGTTCAATGCATTGTTTTACAGGAAGCGATTCTTGGTGTGTCCCTCAAGAAATTTCAGGACAAGAATACTATGTTGGATCTGTGCTCACCTGGTTTAGGTTCTTAAGACCATCACTAGGAACAGAAATAGGCCATTCAGCCAACCAAACCTGGTCTACCCTTCAGTACGATCATGTGGACCTGATTGTGGTCTCAGCGACACTTTTTCCTTGTTTGTACCCATAACCGTTCCCTCCCTCAACTATCAAAAATCTTTCAAACTCCGCCTTGAATCTGTCCCAATGACCCAGCCTTCGCTGCTCGTTGGGGAACAGAGTTCCAAAGGCCAATGACCCTTTAAGTAAGGGAATTTGTCCTCGTGCTCCTTGTCTTAAATGGGTGACAACTTTTACTGAAACAGTGCCCTCCACTTCTTGATTCCCCCAGAAGAGAAAACATCCTCTCGGCATGTACCCTGTCAAGGCCCCTCCAAATCTTGTATTTCTATATGATCACCGCTGTCTTCCAAACTCTGTTGGGTACAGACAATCAACTTCCTCTTTCTTCATTTCCAGGAATCAGCCGGCCGACCTTTCTCTGCACTGTTTCCAATACAAGTTCCTTGAGTAATAAGACCCAAGATGTACATGGTACTCGGGTGGATTTTTTTAATCAACATCCTGTACAGTCGTAGTAAGCCTTCCCAACTTTATACTTCCTCCTGTAAAAATAGGACAACATCCCAGATGCCTTCCTAATTATTTGCTGTACCTGCGTGCTCTGTTTCTTTTTGTGCGTCATGCACAAGGACACCAGATCCGTCTCTGGTGTGGCATTCTGCTGTCTCTTTTTCCTCTCTCTTTAAATAATAGTTGACGGGCCAGAATTGGTGCTGTGCAGCAACTGACACCTCTTTTCCCCCCCCCCCCCCCCACCCCAATCAGTGCTTTGTGAAATGAGAAGATGAAGGGCTGATGTTTCAACTGTAGACTGTCTCACTCCAAGTCAGTGCTCCTGCAAGATCAATGCCATGCTACTTATTCCTCATTTTCCAGGCACTGCTGTATAGTTCCATCATTTTCTGTTTTTCGCTCAAGCAGAGGGTGAGCCAGCCAAAGGAATTTGGGTCAATAGGTTTGAGCTATTTAGGGAGGAGATTTGGTTTGAGACATTCCTATATTCCAGAAATATAATGTGTAAAGCACTGCACTTAATATTTTACTGAGCAGACATGACAGTTTTTTTACCAGGTCCCAATTGGTTTGTAGAGTAAATAATGCTGTGATGACAAGAGTGAAAGGTCAGCATCAATCTCATCCAACAATTAAACGTGCTCACTATCAGACTTAGTTTTGCAATTTATCGTGGTTAATCCTCCAACCTGCTCTGACTGTGATTGTCCAACTGATGGGTCAGGGCAGTGGGGGGTGCGTAGAGAGGGCTGGGTGACCCTCATAGAGTGTGGTAGCCACCCAGGAGGTTTTCTATAGTCACTCGGGATGATTCCTTTCCCTTTCACTGCTCATTTGGAGAGAGGCACACAGCAAAGGCTGCCGATAGGACAGCTGTTTGGTGAAATTACTGCATTCTGGAATATGCTGGACGTCCCCCAACCCATCCCTTTCTATATGTGATGTGATGCACCTGACTGTACACCATACAGAATTGCAAGGACTGCCCTGGGCTGAGGGGTGGATGCCCCCCTCCTCACCATCCCCACCGTGGGTAGGGGCTAAGGTATTTGTGTTGAGGCGCACCTATCTATTCCCTGATTGGGTAATCCAATGATGGACTCCCCTGGCATTGCTGTTGAATCGTTAAGAAAAGGACTGACATTGCCCCATCTGCCTTCCATTTCGGGTCTCGGTGGCACTCTCCCAGCTAACCTGCCACCTTCGATAGCAACTGTGCCAGGCAAGCAATGAATACATCCTGCACAAAAATCCAGCAAAACATACCCCGTGAGCTTTAATCGTTTCATAAACAGGCAGAATTTATTTTTTCTTTAAAAATCTGGCTCTCCACCCCCTGTCCCTGTTAAGGAAGAGCGTCCACTGCCACCAACTTGAATGGGCTTGTTATAACAGTAGCACAACAGGACTGATACAGGCCTAACCTGTGGTCACAGCAAGTGTTCTTCATGTGAATGTTATCTTGTGTTTTGCACAGATTCCTGCACAATGCCTTTTATTTCCAATTCCAGGAAGAGGATGGGGTTATTTTAGAATCTGGTGAAGTGCCTGGTAACTGTGTACTTGAATGTCTTACAGATTGGAATGTACTGTGTAAAGTGGCGATGATATTGATTGCTGTTCGTTCTTAATAAAGGGATACAGGAAGAGCTAGTTTTCGACACTTTTTTTATTTGAAACGTTCCAGGCAGTAGTTTCCACTTCGTCAGCACCACCCATGCTATTGTGAGGAGATTGTTGGTAACGTGAGCCCTCCTTTTACATTGCCTTCCACATGAAGTCAAGGATAAGAGGAGAACGTGTTAGTGTGAGCTGTCATGTTTCCTACGTTAAAAGCAGTGACTATACAGCCAATGTACTTTAGACATTTCTGAAGTCATCAAGCATTGTGTAACTATAAATTACAAGGGGATCTCGATCAATTGGGCCAATGGGCTGAGGAGTGGCAGATGGAGTTTGATTTAGATAAATGTGAGGTATTACATTTTGGTAAGACAAACAAGGGCAGGGCTTAGATGATTAATGGTGGGGCCCTAGGTGGTGTTGTCGAACAGCGGGACCTAGGGGTTCAGATACCAACTGCTTTGAAAGTTGCATCACTGGTAGATAGGGTGGTTAAGAAGGCGTTTCATACGCTTGCCCTCATTGCTCAGTCCATTGTGTATAGGAGTTGGGAGGTCATGTTGAGGCTATACAGGATGTTGGTTAGGCCACTTTTGGAATACTGTGTACAGCCCTGCTATAGGAAGGGTATTATTAAATTGGAGAGGGTTCAGAAAAGATTGACCAGGGTGCTACTAGGAGTTTTATGGTAGTTTGGACATTTCTTACTGTAGTGTAGGAGGTTGAACAGTGACCTTACAGAAGTTTATAAAATCATGAGGGGCTTAGATAAGGTGAATAACGAAGGTCTTTTTCCCAAAGGTCGGGCAGTTCAAATCTACAAGGCATATTTTTAAGGTGAGAGATGAAAGATTTAAAAGGGGCCTAAGGGGCGCACAGAGGGTGGTTTGAATGTGGAATGAACTGCCAGAGGAAGTGGTAGATGCAGGTACAGTTACAATGTTTAAAAGACAGTTGGACAGGTTAATGAATAGGAAAGGTTCAAAGCAATATGGGTCAAAACGCAGGCAAATGGCATGAGTTCAGTTTGGGGAAACTTGATTGGCATGGACGAGTTGGATGGAAGGTCTGTTTCCATGCTCTCTGACTCTGGCTCTAAATACAAGCTTTCTCTAACATTAGACTTGAACATAAGTTTAAAGCTAAGACCAGATAAATTGCCAATACTGGCGGGTTGAGCTTAGTGATCCTAGAATGATTTATTGCCCCATCTTCACCTTTGTCTTCAAAGATTGGAGGAACGTGGATCTTTTTAGAAGACGTATCATTTGAATAAATTAGTCAACAGTATAGCATTGGTGAATCAGGATCACTAACTCGAACAGTGTCACATAGTGCTAGGATTAAATGGGATTGAAGGGCTGAATGGCCTATTCCTATTCCTATAGTTGCATTCAGCACCTCCCAACTGCAACACCTAAGGAAACGAACTCCAGGTCAGGCTGGCACAAGATCAATCCGGGACTGGATTCTCCACCAGCACTCCATTTTATTTATGTGAACACTTGTTATGTGGAAATCACAACAGCAGATCTGCACAGTAGGATCCCACAAGTGGCAATAAGATGACGACCAAAAAGCCTGCAGTCCCACACAAAGTAGCGACTTGTTGTGATCCAGGGATTATGTATGTGTGCACTCACTGCCTTCCTCGTCTGCCTACTGTTTCTTCCGGTTTCTTTCTAAATCAATTTAAAATTGCACAATGGGGAAATTTGTGCCAATGGAAGTTATGTTTGAAATAAAGATTTTTTAATTTTAAGAAGCAGCCTCTGTGTTATGAATATGGGAAGTGAAGGAAATTATTCAAACCCCCACCTGTTCTGCCATTCACTCAAATTATGACTGATTTGGAAATGCTCACCTACATTCCGTATCTCTTAAATATTTTTTGGATTAGAGTTCTTTCAATCTCTGTGCCCCCCAACCTCAACAGTTTCTTGTGGGGGAAAAAGTTTCTGATTTCCACGTTTCTTCACTGTTTGAAGAAGCGTGTTTGGTGCACTTGCCATTATTGGTCATTGCACCGAGTATAAGAGTTGGGAGATCATGTTGCGGCTGTACAGGACATCACTTAGGATGCTTTTGGAATGCTGTTTGCCTGGAGCATTGAGGGGTGACCTTTTATAGAGGTTTATAAAATCATGAGGGGCAAGGAGAGGGTGAATAGCCAAGGTATTTTTCCCCAGAGTAGGGGAGTCCAAAACTAGAAGGGCATAGGTTTAAGGTGAGAGGGGAAAGATTTAAAAGGAACCTAAGAGGCAACTTTTTCACGCAGAAGGTGGTGCGTGTATGGAATGAGCTGCCAGAGGAAGTGGTGGAGGCTGCTACAATTACAATATTTAAGAGGCATCTGGATGGGTATATGAATAGGAAGGGTTTAGAGGGATATGGGCCAAATGCTGACAAATGGGACTAGACTAATTTAGGATATCTGGTCAGCATGGACAATTTGGACTGAAGAGTCTGTTTCCATGCTGTATAACACTGTGACTTGGTAAGTGCTTTCTGATACAATCCCTGAACGGCTGGCCTTGCTGTAATGTAGAGTTTTCTCTCTCTGTGTTCTGGTCTCCCTCGTCAGAGAGATGGGACTAAGTATATGACCTATCCTGATGGACTCTTGTGGTGCACCAGTTCAAGACCCAGCTGTTCCGAAGGTCTGCAAAACATCTCTGAACAGGTTGATTGGAAAATACCTTTCACTATCTATTTTAATCATCTTTAAAAGCCGAATTAGATTGGTGGTTGTCCATTTTCAAAGGAATATAAACCTTGTCTATATAAACTACGTTTGTGCTTTTTCGAGTTTTTTGTGGGATCTGGGTGTCATTGGGTAGCTCAGGATTTGTTGCCCTTAAGATGGTGAAGTTGAGCTGCCTCCTTGATCCATTGTAGTCCATGTGGTGTTAGGATGCCGCACAGAACTCTTAGTAGGAGAGTTGGAATGTAGACCAGTACAGCACAGAAACAGGCCCTTTTGGCCCACAATGTTGTACCGAAGATGACACCAAATTAACCTAATCCCCCTTCCTGCCCTTGGTCCATATTCCTCCATTCCTTGCATATTTATGTGCTTATCTAAAAATCCCTTAAACGCCCCTATCAAATCTGCCTCTACCACCACCCCTGGCAGCGTGTTCCAGTGTCCTACTGTTCTCTGTGTTTAAAAAAAAAAACACCTGCCCCTCACATCTCCTTTGAACTTACCCCCCTCTCACCTTGAATGCCTGCCCCCAGTGTTAGACATTTTCAATTGTGAGGAGAAAGATTGTGACCGTCAACCCTATCTATGCATCTCATAATTTTATATAATTCTCTCAAGTCTCCCTCAGCCTCTGCCACTCCAGAGAAAACAACCTGAGTGCTTCTAGCCTCTCCTTATAGCTCAAGTCCTCTAATCCAGGCGGCATCCTGGTAAATGTCTTCTGCACCCTCTCCAAAGCCTCCATATCCTTCCTGTAATGTGGCGACTAGAATTGAACACAATACTCTTGAGTGTGGCTTGAACAAAGTCTTAATAAAGCTGCAACATGATATCCTGACTCTTGCAGTATTTTGATTCAGTAACAGTGAGGGAACAGCAATGCAATTCCAAATCAGAATGGCATCTGGTTTAGAGAGGAATCCTTTTAATTCCTGCAACAATTGGAGGGATCAGCGAGAATGTCCCAAGAAACCAACTGATGATCTCCGACAGAAGTGACCAAAAAGAATAAAAAGCAAGAGTGAAACATTTGGAGGTGGCCCAGTTGTTAAATTGTCTATATCCTGACCCAGTGTCTTTCTATGACATGAGGGATTGTACAAAGTAAACTACATTGCTGGTTTTCTAGATGGAGTTCAGTATGTCCAAGTTAGAGAAAATAACTAACAAGGAAAATGTTCCTGCTCTGAATTTGTGGACTGAAGGTGAACCTCTGAATAATGTCAAAAGTATGGTCATTAGTTTCTGAAAGTCAGTTTGAGGATAATCTAAATCAACAGTACAGTGCAGCATTAGGTGAGTGTAGTTCTTTGTCATATTAAAGCCCAGCAGTGATGTTCAATGATATTCACTGGCTGTAAGTAAACACCAAACAATGCTGTGGGATAGTTAAGGAGCAGGGCTCAACACGGTCAGAAAAAAGTAGAACGTAGGAACAGGAGGAAGCCATTTGTCGCTTTGAGCCAGCTCTGCCATTCAGTACAATCATGACTGTTCATCCAACTCAGACCCCCATTTCCACTTTGTCTCCATACCCTCTGATCCCTTAACCCTAAGACTACATCTAACGCCTTGAAAATATTCAACGGTTTGGCCCAAATGTTGGCAAATGGGACAAGATCAGTTTAGGATATCAGGTTGGCATGAATGAGTTGGACCCGAGGGTCTTTCTGTGCTGTATCATTCTATGACTTTCTGTGGGTGACAATTCCACAGGCTCACCGTTCTCTGGGTGAAGACCTTTCTCCTCATCTCAGTCCTAAATGGCCCGCCCTGTATAGTTAGAGTGCGACCCCTGGTCTGGAACCACTGGTTCTCCCAGTGTCTGGGCCAAACTCCTGCCACTACTGATTGGTTAGTCAGCTCGTTGTGAGAGAGTGCAAGGGAGCAAATTGGCTCTGGGAATTCTCCGCATCGTTCCAACGCTGCTGTTCAACAAACTAATTTTGTGCCTATGATGTAGTTAAGGGTGTCTAAGCAATGTTGTGAGATGTTCCAGAGATGCTAAGCCTTCGGTCTATCGGAATCTGGACCATAGTGTGCATGGGAATGATCAAAAAATCAGGTCACAAAGAATACACAGCTAGCTATATACTTGCGGCAAGCATTTGTTTATATGAGATCCGTATCTTAATGTATGTAATGTAATTCAGCAAAAAAATCAAAGTTTCTCTCTCATAGCCCAATAGAAATTGGTACCACACCCTTTGATCCTGTACCTGTGAAGGTTCAAACACAGCAGCAAGGAACCTAGGAAAAAGACAAGTTGAAAGGTTCTATGGAGGGTCAGGAAGACTTGAGAAGTAAAAGACCTGATGAAAAGTAAATACCCCTGGAAATTTGCCTCGCCACCCCTCCCCCCACATCCTCCCCAATCCATTTAGTTGTGTTTTCCTTCCTCTACTTGAATTGCCTGGGAGTTGGTTAGCTCAGTTTGCGATGCAGAGTGATGCCAACAACATGGGTTCAATTCCATGCTGTTCTGACATTACCACATAGGACTCTCCTTCTCTACCTTTCCCCTTTGCCTGAGGTGTGGTGACCTTTAGGTCAAACCACCCCCCAGTCATCTCTGGCTGAGAGAGGAGCCCTATGGGACTGTGGTAACTTTACCTTGAGTTGCCTGCCAGACAACACAATTACTTATCACAGAATCCCCTATGGTGTGGAAGCAGGCCATTCGGCCCACCTAGTCCACACCAACCTTCCAAACAGCATCCCAACCCCCTACCCTATCCCCGTAACCCTGCATTTCCCATGACTAACCCACCCAGCCTGCACATCCCTGGACACTATGGGCAATTTATCATGGCCAGTCGACCCGAACCTTTGGACTGTGGGAAGAAACCAGAGCACCCAGAGGAAATCCACACAGATACAGGGAGAACATGTAAACTCCACACTGACAGTCGCCAGAGGATGGAATCGAACACGGGTCCCTGGCACTGTGAGGCAGCAGTGCTAACTGCTCTATATGGTACCCTTTAATGTGGAAGACCATTTCTAAGATGTTGCAAAGGGGTCAGTGAAAGCCATGACACTGGTATCTCAATATCAACCATTTAAACAGCTGTGGCCAAAGTTTGGGAATAAGATCCCTGTTCACCATCAGTCTCAGGGGACTGCTCTGTGCTCATGACAGTAGCTGAAACATTTCTCCATCCAAATGCTTTGCTTCCACTATACAGGATCTGACTATTAGAGGAAGTATATGTTGATTTTAATACAGAGATTGTCCAGCAGTTTCCATTGTTGCAAGTTGTAACTATTCCCCACATTGCTTGGTCACCGGATGGATTTTCTCTGACTGGTTCTCTATGTATAATCTCTGTGTTAAGCTGCTATTTGGTTAGCATTTTTTTTTCGATACATTATGAGGTTTTCTTGGCAGTGTCTTATCCCTGCTGGCCAGTTGTGCTTTGGCTTACTGCTGTGCTGGTGTTGCCTGCTGGTGTGAAGCTCGGCCTGGTGCTGTGCAGGAGGACGCTGATGTACTCTGGATTGCCAGTCAGGTCCAGAACCTGCAAATATTTCAGGCCCCTGAAGGATCCCTTCCTGACTCCCGCAGAGGTCAGCCTGTTCGACCTGTGGGTTGAGATGAGGGTCAAGTTAGCAAAGGTTGAGTTGACAGACCACGTGCAGTGTGCTGGGAGGGTCGCTTCTGCACTCCTGCCCCGGTGGTTTGGGAATGCCCACTTTCAGGAATGTGGTACGTAACTATTTTACGGGCTCTTAAAGCCAGATAATTGGGAGTTAGACCTCATTGTTATAGACTGTCATGGCAAAGGGACTCTTGTGGTGCAGTGACAGTGTCCCTACCTCTGAGCCTGGAGGCCTGGCTTCAAGTGCAAACCTGCTCCAGAGGTGTGTAGTAACGTCTCTAAACAGTTTGATTAGAAAATGTCTAGACTCTACATTCCTCTAATGAAGCCTAGGGATTGCTAAGAGGTTAGATTTATGCATCTGCCAGGGCCAGTGGTGACCAGGAGTCGTGGTGGAGGACCTGACAGACTCATGGCACGCCAGTGTTGCAGTGGGGACTTCAATCTGGTTTTAGGCCGAGCTAGATGCAGTGAAGGGGCCGAATGCATGAATCAGGCCTGGGGAAAGAAGGCCTCTCATTTGCCTTTGCCCATTATGGCAGGTTGTTTCCATATTTAATCTTGGGGACGTGAGCTTTGCCAGCAAAGCCAGTGTTTATTGCCCGTCCCTAATTGCCTTAAAGCAAGTCGAGCCACCTAAAACTGAACATCTTGCTTGACCATTCCAGTGGGCCTGGAATCACACGTAGGCCTGAACAGGTAAGGGCAGCAGATTTTCTCCCCTAAAGGATATTAGTCTGATCATTCAGTGGTCAATTTTAATGAGCCCTAGCATGTTGTTCCTGGTTTTATTAGTTAATTGAGTTTAAACTTCCCTGTTACCACAGTGAGATTTGAACTCCTGACTCTACTGTTAGTCAAAGCCTGTGGATTACCAACTCAGCAACATTACCACTATGCTACCATCCCTTGGTGTATTTTGAAACATAACACATTTGTCAGCCAGCTTTGAACAACGAAAAGAAACAGGAACCACTGGAGAGCTACCACTCTGTCTCAGCCTAAGTATATTCTACACCAACAGCTCCATTGAAAGCCATCTCCTCTGTGAACTGTGACACTGGAAGAACATCTGGGCTGTTGCAGGGGTTTCCCTCACATGATTAGCCGATTGACCACTTACCTCAAGACTATCACTTTAATGTTTGGTGTCGAGATGAAGGAGTCAGAGTTGATTGTTGAAATGCGATTATTCTGCAGATATACGTACTCCAGGGACTCGGGGAGATCCGGAGGCACATAGGACAAATCATTATATCCCAGATCCAACAACTAAAAGCATTAAGGTAAAAAAAATCACATGTTGCGTTAAATGTTCTGACCCGGTCAGTTGTTAAAGCAGCCTTTAAGGGTGCTGGGTCTTAGCTCAATCACTTATCTTTGCTTTCAACATTACTTCCAATTACATCGAAGTTAATCTTCATTATTCTACTCTAACACACTCCCAGAAGGTCAGAATTGTGAAAGACCCAACCTTCAATCTAAAGGCTTTTAAAACCAGGTTTGGCATCTATTATTTATTCATGTCCCCATTTCCTCCCAGTCTTCTCCACTTTGGTACTGCCCAGGAATCTAAATGTTGTCCTTTCCAACTCCAGCTTCCTAACTGGGAACCAAAGATTGTCCACTGAAGTTCCTGTCCTGCTTCTGTAGCCACTGTGTTTATGTGGCGAGTCCAGTTGAGTTTCTGATCAATGGTAACCCCCAGGATGTGGTTAGGGGGGGACTCAGTGATGGTAACACCATTGCCAAATGGGACTAGGTTAATTTAGGATATGTGGTCAGCATAGACAAGTTGGACCGAAGGGTCTGTATCCATGCTGTACATCTCTACAAGGGGTGGTAGTTAGATTGTCTTTTACTGGTGATGGTCATAGCCTGGCATTTGTGTGGCACGAATATCACTTGCTACTTGTCAGCCCAAGCCTGGATATTGTCCAGATCTTGTTGCATGTGAACATGAGCTGCTTCAGTATCTGAGGAGTCACGGATGGTGCTGAACATTGTGCAATCTTCAGCGAACATCCCCATTTCTGACCTTATGATGGAGGGAAGGTCATTGATGAAGCAGCTGAAGATGGTTGGGCCTAGGACACGACCCTGAGGAACTCCTGCAGAGATGTCCTGGAGCTGAGATGATTGACCACCAACAACCACGACCATTTTCCCATGTGTCAGGTATGACTCCAACCACCGGAGCGTTTGCCCCCCAATACCCATTGATTCCAGTTTTGCTAGGGCTCCTTGATGCCACACTCGGCCGAATGCAGCCTTGATATCAAGGGCTGTCACTCTCACCTCACCGCTGGAATTCAGCCCTTTTGTCCATGTTTGAACCAAGGCTGTAATGAGGTCAGGAGCTGAGTGGCCCTGGCAGAACCCAAACTGGGCGTCACTGAGCAGGTTATTGCTGAACAGGTGCTGTTTGATAGCGCTGTTGGTGACACCTTCCATCATGTTACTGATGATCGAGAGGAGACTGATGGGGCGAGAATTGGCCGGGTTGGATTTGTCCTGCTTTTTATGTACAGGACATACCTGGGCAATTTTCCACATTGTTGGGTAGATGCCAGTGTTGTAACTGTACTGGAACAGCTTGGCTCGGGGAGCGGCAAGTTCTGGAGCACAAGTCTTCAGGACTATTGCTGGAATGTTGTCAGGGCCCGTAGCCTTTACCGTATCCAGTGTCTCCAACTGTTTCTTGATATCATGTGGAGTGAATCAAATTGGCTGAAGACTGGTATCTGTAACGCTGGGGATCACTGGAGGAGGCTGTGATGGATCATCCACTCGGCATTTCTGGCTGAAGATTACTGCGAATGCTTCAGCCTTATCTTTTGCACTGATGTGCTGGGCTCTTCCATCATTGAGGAGGGGATATTTGTGGAGCCTCCTCCTCCAGATTCATCTGCTGTAAGTGACTGAGTTCACAATATTCCCAGGCTCTCCACTCCTATATCATGTGAGTTTTTCTCTTGGCCTTGTTAATTCAGTTTTGTTCTCTGTGCTTTGTACTGCATGGCTTAAGGATTGTTAACGTTCTCACTCTCTCAGCCTGACTTACTGCACTGTTTACATTCCGTACACGAGGGGATTGACTGGCACAATCTCTGATGGCTGCTCACTTGGGCCCAGAGCCTCATGCAGCAGCATGTACCTCTGCCTCCGAGCTGAAGATTTCTTCTGCTCCTGCGCTTTCCTACCAGGTCTGCTGCATAGCGTCGTTTCGGAGTATTCTGTCATGCGGAGAGTTGCCACGATTTGGCTTGGAGTTTGCTGTCCTCCGCGATCAGTAATATCTGCTTTCATAGAAGCCGTCTGGGTTACTGGCATGTTAGCTTTGCTGGGGCTAGCAGTGCTAACTTGGTTGTCCCGATCCCACGCTGATTGCCATGTTGCATGTGCGGCTATTCATATCTTCTAAGCATGTGGACTCTTTAAGGACTCACGAGGTCTAATGTGTGCGAGGGTCCTGGTCTAACGAGAAGACCCTTGCAGTGTAAACAAGGTGTCATTTATTGCAATGCTCCAATTGTTTGCAAGTTATAAGAATAGGCTCCAATGAGTCCAAAGACTGTGGGAAGGGCCTGGTCTTAGGAGCGTCTCCATGAGATCATACTTTACCTGCCTACCAAGTCCTGATGGCATCATCACAGTGGGTGGTGCCAATTTGCACTACAGCCAGCATGAAGCCCTTCAGACTCAGGCCTCCCCCTGCTGCACAGCTAACCTCAGTATGAGCCCCTCTTACACTGACGGAGAATCACAAACAGTGCTGTCCATTACTGGGGGGCCTCACTTTAGACTGAATAGTTGACCCATCACCTTAAGCTCAGCAAGTGAGGAGGCGAGAGCTCTGCTCCAGGGATTCACATTCACGACAGAAAGGAAGAAATAATTACGTTCATGTAGGAGCACCAAGCAACAAGAATATTAAAAAAAAAGTAAGATTGAAAACAGAGAGGCAAAGGAATCCTTTCTCCCAGAGGGTAGTAAATGTCTGGAATTCTCCGCTCCAAAGAACTGCGGAGGCTAGAATTGCTGAGAACCTTTAAAGGGCAGATAAATAGCCTTCAACTCCCCAGTATTTCATTTACAATAATGATCCCAGAGATGAAGGGCTTGCCATGTGAGGAACGGTTAAGAATTCTGGGTCTGTACTCGATGGATGAGGGGGGATCTCACTGAAACTTACAGAACACTCAGGGGCCTGGATGTGCAGAAGATGTTTCTACCAGTAGGTGAGACTAAGACCCGAGGGTGAAGGGACAACCCTTTAGAACTGAGATGAGGAGGAATTTCTTCAGCCAGAGGGTGGTGACTCTGTGGAACCCATTGCTGCAGATGGCTGCGGGGGCCAAGTCATTGAGTGTATTTAAGACAGAGGTAGATAGGTTCTTGATTAGTGAGGGGATCAAGGGTTACGGGGAGAAGGCAGGGGGAATGGGGTTGAGAAACACATCAGCCAAGATCGAAAGGTGGAGCAGACCCGATGGGCTGAATGGCCTGGTTCTGCTCCTATGCCTTATGGTCTATTTCAAAAATCTGAGGAGCTGGCGCAAGAGAGGATTTGAGCGCTGGGACAGGTCGGCTCGGATCTTGTACAATGGCAGGGCAGGTTGGAAAGGCTGCAATGGGGCCGACTCCCATCCCTATTTCTTACGTTTTCGAATGTGTTGATTTGTGAGAGTAGTGTGCATTTCCTACACCACACCAGCTGCTCCAGTTGTTGGCTGTACTAAATACTTTGGGACATGTTCGAGGTTGCGGAAACGCAGGCGCAATTTCCATTTTTTATTTGTTTTTCCTGCCCGCCCCTCGACCCACCTTAAGGTTGGGGACATTCCTCCAGGCCCCTGGAGCGATCTTGGCGATCGTCAGCAGGTTGTGATGGAGGTGCAGTTCCTTCAGAGAGTGCATGTCGAGCAGAGCGTCGGCGGAGAGTTGGCCGATCTGATTGTTCTGGGCCCTCAGAGCGTGCAGGCTGGGTGGGAGGCCGCTGGGGAGCAGGCTCAGCATGTTGGAGGCCAGATCGAGCCTTTCCAGCCGGCGAAGTTTTCTGAATGCCAGCCTGTGGACGCGTGCGCTGCGCAACTTGTTGTGACTCAGGTTGAGATCGGTCAGGTAGGAGGCAGACGCAAAGTCCTTGGCGCCGATCTTGTCGATGGCATCATGGAGCAGCATGAGCGAGCTGATACGACGGGGCAGGCTAGCCGGGATTTTACCCAGCGGGTTGTTAAAGATGTGAAGGGTGTGCAGCTTTCGGAGCTTGCTGAAGGCTTCCCTGTGTATCCTGCCGGCCGAGATCCTGTTATTCTGCAGCAGCAGGTACTCCAGGTTCCTGATCCTGCTCAGACTGTGCCTGGAGATCGAGGCGATCCGGTTTCTTCCCAGCTGCAGCACGACAATGTTTGCCGGCAGTCCTTCTGGCACCTTGATCAGGTTGTTACTGGATAAATCCAGGTATTGCAGTCCCTTCATTTTACTGTCAAGTAGGAAAGATAATGGAATCCTTACTCAAAGATGTGATAGCAAACCATCCAGAAACTGAAAATATAATGGAATCTGGTCAGATTTGGAAGGGTGAGTTTTTATTTTTAAAGAATTTAAGGGGCAAGTTCACGTTTGGGCCAAACTAATTGTTTGAAGAAAGTAACAATAAGACTAGATGAGGAGGATATTGTAGATGGAGTATATTTTCCTAAATACAATTAGGAAATCCCTCCCCAATGGCATTATGGGTCAACCCATTTTAAGTCACCATGGTCCCAGAGCACCGTAGGGCTACAGTCTTATTAGAGAGAGAGATGACTGTTGGCGAATTTGACCTGGGTTACCGCATCTCAATCATCATATGGACTTCAGCGGTTCAAGAGGGCAGCTCACCACCTTCTCAAGGGGCGCAGCAGCATGGGCAATAAATGCTGACCCAATCAGCAACACCCACATCCCATGAATGAATAAAAATAAATTGGTGAGGTACTGAATGATGGACCTGTGAGCGAGGATGAAATGTGCGCAGTTAGGGCTATCCAGGGCGAATAGGTGGCAAGCTGGTAACAAGGCAGAGAGAGGGGGTCATGTTAACCATCATTATTTAGGCTGGCATGGTGGCATTCCACAGCGTTTTGGTGAGGGAACCGCTTAAACCATTTATTTATTTTAGACCCAAGATCGAAAATGCCCTTTAATAAAATGTGCAGTTGACATCAAATTGTGGTGGTATTTGGGGTGTGGAACAAGTGGGGTCTTTAGTTGATACAGAAAGGGATTGTGTACAAAATACTGGAAATCACTAGCCAGCTTGCAGCTGCACGAATGGTACCCTAATGTTGACATTTATAGAGGTAAGGTGTAAATGCTGGTAGGAGGAATAAACAAATCAGATAGACTCTTATCGTCCAGAGGCTAAATAGGGCAAAACAACAAAGATACAGATGCACAAATCTCCACAAGGAGCATCTCATGTTGATAAGCCCATGAAAAAAAAACACAACGCTGGAGTTCATTTCTAGAGGACTCAAGTAGAAAGGCAGAGTTTTTATGCCATAGAGAGAAGTACAAAGCGAAAGCTAGTTGGACCTCAGCGGGTGAACTGTGTACAGTTCAGCATTGTGTATTCCCTGGAGGCATTGGAAAGCTTGCAGAAAAGGATAGACTGGAAATATAATTAATAATTTGGGGTCTTGCTTTAAACTTGTGTCAGAGAGACAGCGCCTCGGGCAGTTCAGCACTTCCTCTGTGATGTACTGAAGTGTCAGTTTGTTTTATGTTTTCAAATCTCTGGGGAAGAAATGGAACCCATAGCCTCTGACTCAGAGATAGTGAAGCTGCTGCTTGAAAGTCAGTATTTGCTTCTCTGCTCCCTACTCTTTATATCTACATAAGAGCATTAGAAACTGAAGTAGGCATAGAACACTGGGCTCCTCAAACCTCTTTGCTGTTCGATGAGATCATTGGCAATTTGCTGTCACTTCTTTCCCACCTTAACTCCAAATCCGCGATTATCGTAGAGCCTCTCTATCAATCTCCCTCCAAACATTTCTTATTCATGTACTTATCCAAATGTTTTTCAAACATTGTAACTGCACCCGCATCCAATGCTTCCTCTGGAAGTACATTCCACACACAAACCACTCTCCATGTAAAAAAATTGCCCCTCATGTCTTTTTTAAATCTTCCTCCTCTCACCTTTAAAATATGTCCCCTAGTCTTGAAGTCCCCCACCCTAGGGAAAAGATACCTGTCATTCACCTTATCTATGCCCTTCATGATTTTATAAACCTCTGTAGGCTCACCCCTCAATCTCCTACGTTCCAGTGAAAAAAGTCCCATCCTATCCAGCCTCTCCTTGTAACTCAAATCATCCATTCCCAGCAAAATCTTGGTAAATCTCTTCTGAGCTCTCTTCAGTTTAATGATATCCTTCCTATAGCAGGGTGACCAGAACTGGACAACAGTACTCTCTGGAAGAGGCCTCACCAATGTCAACCTCAACATAATGTCCCAACTCCTACACTCATAGGTCTGAGTAATGAAGGCAAGTGTGCCAAATGCCTTTTTAAAAATCCTGTCTATACATGATGCAAACTTTAAGGAATTATGTATCTGCACACTTGGGCCCCTGCATTCTACAACACTACCCAAGGCCCTGCTTTTAATTGTATAAATCCTACATAGGCAGGTGGGATTGGTTTAGTTTGGGATTATGTTTGGACCAAAGGATCTGTTTCCGTGCTGTATGACTTTATAACTGTATAAACGTACATCATAACCTGAGAATCCACAGCTCTTAGGGGCAATGAATTCCAACGATTCACAACCGTCTACATGAAGATATTTCTGTTCATCTTGGTCCAAAATGGCGGATCATTAGCCTGAGATTAAACTCCCTAATTCTAATCTTTCCAAACTCAGCTAGGACGTGGAATGATCCCAGACATACACAGGCAGGAGTGTTGCTGGGGCTAGGAGCTAATTCAGAAAGTCCTGAGTTTACCTCACTTCCTAAATGCTTGATTCCATCATAAAGGACATGGCAAAGGATTTATGGATAAAACAAAAAAATCTGATTGGACGTTGTTGGCAGAAACTTGCAAAGGGTAAATTGTGTTTGACAAACTCATTAGGGTTTTTGAGGATGTTACCAACAAAATAAATAAAGGGACTGCAGTATATTTGGATTTTCAGAAGGCTTTTGATAAGGCCCTCCTCTAAAGGTTGTCGGCAAAATCAAAGCACATGGTATAAGAGGTAATGTACTGGCATGGATGAAGGATTAGTGAGGAAACAGGAATCAGAGCATAGGAATAAATGCATTATTCTCGCATTGACAAGTGGTGAATAGTCGGGTATCTGCTGTTCACTGTCTATATCGGTGATGTGGACACAGGGACTGAATGTAGTATTTCCAAATTTGCGGATGTGCAAAGTTAAGTGGGAATGTGTATTGTAAGGAAAATATAAGATGTTTCCAGGAAGATTTGAACAGACTTAGTGAATGGGTAAAAATGTGGCGGCTGGAATATAATGTGGAGAAAAGTAGAGGCTATCCACTTTGATGTGCAGTGTATTTCTTAAATGGTACAAGTGTCGATGTACAGAGGGTGTCCTTGTAAATAAGTCAGAGAAGGCTAACGTGCAGATATAGTGCCAAAGAGATTTCCAGAGGGTTGCAGTGGGAGAGAGATCCACTGAGGTCTTTCTGAAGGAAGGGGGACAAGGTGGGCATCCTTGGAAGAGGCTTCGCTGTGGGGTTATAACTCACTCCGAGATAGTAAGAACTGCAGATGCTGAATCCTCCCGACCTGAAACGTCAACTTTCCTGCTCCTCTGATGCTGCCTGGCCTACTGTATTCCTCCAGCTCCACACTGTTATCTCGGACTCCAGCATCAGCAGTCCTTACTATCTCTGATGCAGGTACAACAATCAATTAGGAACGTTAACTTTTATTGTAAGAGGGTTTGAGTACAGGGATAGTGAAGTCTTACTTTAATTGTATAGGAGCTGGGTTAGATTGTATCTGGAGTAGTGTCACAGTTTTGGTGTCCCTCCCTTGGGGACGATATCAGTGTAATGAAACCTCACTGGACTCACTCCCAGGATGGACTATGATGGGACACTGGGCAAACTGAGATTACGGTCCGGAATTCTAAACTTCCCAAACTCGGCTAGCAACGAGAATCATCCCAGACGTACAGAGGCAGATTTGAGTGGTGAAGAATGAATGGTGACCACATTAAAACTTACTGCATTCTTAAGGAATAGGCAGATAGATGCAGGTAAAATGTTTCCCCCTGATTGGGGAGTCTAAAAGCAAGGGGAACAATTTAAAAGTAAGGAGGAAACCATTTAGGATGGAGATGGGGAGAAATGTCTTTACTCAGAAACCTTTGGCATACTGTACTCCCCATGGCTGTGGAAGCTCAGTCTTTCAGCATGTTTAAAGTCGACGTTAATATATTTGATGATTAGCAGGGTCACAGGGATATTCTGGGTGAAAGATATTGAAGTGTTCAGTCAGCCATGGTTGTATTAAATGATGGAGTAAGCTCGATGGGCTGAATGGCCTACTCCTGTCTGGTGAATGCTCCAGTTTGCTCACCTGAAGGTTTGTGAATGAATACCTGCATTGGACAGCCTGTTGCATTGCAGATACAGCTCTCGGAGATGCTCTAAATGACTGAAGGCATCTTTGGGAATCTTTGAGATTCTGTTGTTCTGTTTTTGGAGAAAGACACAGGCACAAATAAAAAAACTCTTTCCAACTATTCGGAGCCTTCCTTTTGTCAAATGTAGAACATTGGCAGCACTGGACCACATTGGTCTCCTCTTGCCTTCTACTCTTGGTGCTGGGCGTTGGATAGTGCTGTAGAACAGGGCGACCTCGGGATTCAGGTACATAATTCTTTGAAGTTTGTAGAGAGGGTGCTTAAGAAGGTACTTAGCACACTTGCCTTCATTGCTCAGGCCTTTGAGTATAGGAGTTGGGACATTATGTTGATGTTGTATGTGTTACGTGAGATGAGGCCTCTTCTGGAGCACTGTGTCCAGTTCTGGTCACCCCGTTATAGGAAGGATATTATTGAGTTGGAGAGAGTTCAGTAAAGATTGACAAGGATGTTACCAGGAATGCAATGTTTGAGTTATAAGGAAAGGCTGGATAGGCTGGGACTTTTTCCACTGGAGCTTAGAAGGTTGAGGAGTGACCTTGTGGAGGTTTAGAAAATTATGAGGGGTATAGATAAGGTGAGTGGCAGGTGTCTTTTCCCTAGGGTGGGGAGTTTCCAGAATAGGGTGTATATTTTTAAGGTGAGAGGAGAAAGATTTAAATAGACATGAGGGGCAACTTTTTTACACGGAGAGTGGCTTGCGTGTGGAATGAACTTCCAGAGGAAGTGGTGGATGTGGGTACAGTTACAATGTTTAAAAAGACATTTGGATAAGTACATGAATAAGAAAGTACATGAACAAGAACTGTTTGGAGGGATATGGGCCAGGAGCAGGCAGGTTTAGTTTGGGATTATGGTCAGCATGGACTGGTTGGACCGAAGGGTCTGTTTCCGTGCTGAATGACTCTATGACTCGATGGTCATCAGCTTGGACCCTGGCCCTCACTTAGATTTCTGAGTGAATGCATTTGTTCACTTTGTATACAGCAGACTGGAGGAGCTGGGTCTGTCTTCAGGAAGGCAAAAAGGGGACATGAAATACCTTTGGCAAATAGGGTCAAGGAGAATCCAAAGGGTTTCTACAAATACATTAAGGACAAAAGGGTAACTAGGGAGAGAATAGGGCCCCTTAAAGATCAGCAAGACCACCCATGTGTGGAACTGCAGGAGATGGAGGGAAATACTAAATGAATATTTTACATCATTGTTTACTGTGAAGAAGGATATGGAAGATAGAGAATGTGGGGACATGAATAGCAACATCTTGAAAAATGTCCATATTACAGAGGACGAGGTGCTAAACACCTTAAAATGCATAAAGGTGGATAAATCCCTGGGACCTGATCAGGTGTACCCTAGAACTCTGTGGGAAGCTACGGAAGTGATTGCTGGGCCCCTTGCTGAGATATTTGTATCATTGATAGCCACAAGTGAGGTACCAGAAGATTGGAGGTTGGCTGACGTGGTGCCAGGGAACTATAGACCGGTGAGTGTGACATCGGTGATGGGCAAGTTGTTGGAGGGAATCCTGAGGGACAGGATTTACATGTATTTGGAAAAGCAAGGACTGGTTAGGGATAGTCAACATGGCTTTGTGCGTGGGAAGCCGTGTCTCACTAAATTGATTGAGCTTTTTGAAGAAATAACAAAGAGGATTGATGAGGGCAGAGCAGTGGATGTGATCTATATGGACTTCAGTAGGGCATTGGACAAGATTCCAATGGTTAGCAAGGTTACATAACATGGAATACAGGGACAACTAGCTATTTGGATACAGAATTGATTAGAAGACAAAGGGTGGTGGTGGAGGGTTGATTTTCAGACTGGAGGCCTGTGACCAGCGGTGTGCCACAAGGACCAGTGCTGGGTCCACTGCTTTTCGTCATTTACATAAATGATTTGGATGTGAACATGGGAGGTATGGTTAGTAAGTTTGCAGATGACATTAAAATTTGAGGTGTAGTGGACAGCGAAGAAAGTTACCTCAGAGTACAATGGGATCATAATCAGATATGCCAACGGGCCGAGGAGTGGCAGACAGAGTTTAATTTAGATAAATGTGAGATGCTGCATTTTAGAAAGGCCAATCAGAGCAGGACTTATACACTTAATGGTAAGGTCCTGAGGAGTGCTGCCGAACAAAGAGACCTTGCAGTGCAAGTTCATATTTTCTTGAAAGTGGAGTTGCAAGTAGGTAGGATAGTGAAGATTGTGTTTGGTACGCTTGCCTTTATTGGTCAGTGCATTGAGTATAGGAGTTGGGAGGTCGCTGTACAGGACATTGGTCAGGCCGCATTTGGAATACTGAGTGCAATTCCGGTCTCCCTGCTATAGGAAGGATATTGTGAAACTTGAAAGAGGTCAGAGAAGATTTACGAAGATGTTGCCAGGGTTTGGAGGGTTTGAGCTATAGGGAGAAGCTGACTGGGCTGGGGCTATTTTCCCTGGTGTGTCGGAGGCTGAGGGGTGACCTTATAGACGTTTATGAAATCATGAAGGGCATAGATAGGGTAAAGAGTCAAGGTGTTTTCCCCAGGGTGGGGGAGTCCAAAACTACAGGGGCATAGGTTTAAGGTGAGAGGGGAAAGATTTAAAAACGACTTGAGGGGCGACATTTTCACACAGACGGTAGTGTGTGTATGGAATGAGCTGCCAGAGGAAGTGGTGGAGGCTGGTACAATTATAACATTTAAAAGGCATCTGGATGGGTACATGAATAAGAAGGGTTTGGAGAGACATGGGCCAAATGTTGGCAAACGGGACTAGATTTATCGAGGATATCTGGTCAGCATGGACAAGTTGGACCTAAGGGTCTGTTTCCATGCTGTACATCTCTCTGACTCTACGACTGTACTGCACATGCCTTTTATACTGCACATGCCTGCTATACTGTAAACACCTGTAATACCGTACACACCCAGCCCACTGTACATGCCTGTTACACTGTGCATGCCTGTTGCACGGTACATACCTGTTGCACGGTACATACCTGTTGCACGGTACATACCTGTTGCACTGTACATACCTGTTGCACTGTACACACCTGTTGCACTGTGCATGCCTGTTGCACTGTACGTACCTGTTGCACTGTGCATGCCTGTTGCACT